AGGGTTAGGTTTAGGGTTAGGTTTAGGTTTAGGGTTAGGTTTAGGGTTAGGTTTAGGGTTAGGTTTAGGGTTACGTTACAGCGCGCTTCTGTCGGAGCCCTTTTGTTGGCATGCTTTAGGGCTAATTCGTTGCACGGTTTTGTCGGCGCGGTTTTATCACCGCGGTTTAGTCAGGCGCGGTTTTGTTGTTCACGCATTTGTGGTGGAACCGTGGGAATAGGGGCTGTCCAACAGTTTTATTCATTTATTTAAATTTATTGGCCACCCAGCTTTAATGTGTTATGGATGTAGGGGGGGATAAAACAATAAAAATATCTTTAAAAAACCCCATCAAATTGCATGGACAGCCCAGGCTAAAATAAACGAACAAACAGCAAAACAAAACAGGGGCCTTAGACAAATAAACCTGCCATGATGGTTTCAATAAACATAAACCTTGGTTTTGAGAACAAACCCAGATTTTCAAAGCTTTCCAGAAGCCCAGGAGAGGGGGCTATCCTTATCTTTGGGGGAGATGTTGTTCCAGAGGATGAGGACCACAGTACAGAAGGTATGCTTCCTTATCCCCACACAATGACAAGGTTTAATAGAGGGAACCTGGAGAGCACTTTTGATCTCTCAGATACCCAGACTATGCAATATAGAAGTTATAGTGATACATGATAAATTATTTCACTCAAAATTAGGCTGAAAGAGTTGTCCAGTTATTCCTATAGATCAGGAAAGAACCAAGAAGGCCCATTGGCTCATGCCCTCTCTCTTAACCTCTAGAAAGTGCTCTGGAGGTAATTGCATCCCATCTGTTTTCCTTTCTCCCCTCATTCCACACCCCCTTCTACATCCCCTGTGAAGTGTACTTTAATATGACTCCATTCTCTCATCTGATGACATAGTAGATTAGATGGAGTCAAGCTACCACCATATAGGTAAGCACTTGTCTTTGAGTTGATTGGACTCCCAAGTGTAAGGTGCCAGGAGCTGGGGATAAAATTTGTGTTTCCCCCCAAAATAAGACCCAACCAGAAAATAAGCCCTACCATAATTTTTCCAGGATGCTTATAATATAAACCCTACCCCAAAAATAAGCCCCAGTTAAGCTAATCAGCCAGATGGACATATTTAGTACTTTATTTCTCTGAAAATAAGACCTAACTAGAAAATAAGCACTATTGTGTCTTTTGGAGCAAAAATTAATAGAAGACCCGGTCTTATTTTTGGGGAAGCACAGTAGTTTGTAAAGGGCTATAAATTGTCTGCCATTATCATGGATTATGAGCTCAATATCAGGAGGCGTAAAGAGTTTCCTCATTTATCCCACCACTGGGCCTGTGCCACCCAACTACGGATAGCCTGGAGTGAATGGTATTTATTATAGCCCCATCCCCCAGGGAGCCATGAATAAGGCTGAAAGAAAGAAAACATCTTTTTCTTCCTAATAATAAAAGAAAATAAAACGGCACTCTAAAACTATCACCTTGCAATTTACAAAGCTGTTAGTCCATCTGAAGGGGCTTGTACCACATTATAATTCCCAAGACACAAATTGGCACCCAGATACTTACAGTATTATTAGAGAACACATGGTAGCAAAGAGAAGTAGGGTTGAACATCAGAAAACAATAGTACGGGTTAACAAAATAATAGTAAGGCAAGCTCATCTGAAATGAAGACTGAGCTTATTGGAATTACAGGTAGTCCTCGACTTACAACCACAACTCAGCCCACAGTTTATGTTGCTACGTGAGAGAGTTGTTGAGTGAGTTTTGCCCTGTGTTACGACCTTTTCTTGTTACGTTTGCTAAATGAATCACTGCAGTTGTTCAGTTAGTAACATAGGTCGTTAAGTGAATCTGGGTTCCTCATTGACTTTGCTTGTCAGAAGATGTCAAAAGGTGATCATGACATGACCTCAGGACACTGTCATAAACAGGAACCAATTACGAAGCAATTGAATTTTGATCATGTGACCATGAAGATGCTGCAATGGCTGTAAGTGTGGAAAACAATTATAAGTCACTTTTTCCAGTGCCGTTCTAACTTTGAATAGTCACTAAACAAACTGTTGTAAGTCGAAGGCTACCTGTATGGTTGTGAAACTAACAAGACTAGGATTCGGGCACACTGAAACTAAAACCAAAACTTGTAACCCAATCCAACTTGTTACTTACAACAAATTCTGGAATTCTTCATGCCATTGATTATTTTCTGAGTTCTAGAAGCTTCTTGTTCCATATTACTTGGAGCAGGGCAGTCTTTTCTTTCCTCCAGACAGACCTTGAAATGAAATGCCTCTAATGAAGTCCTTTCTGGCTAGTTAATCTCGGGGTAGGAGAGGGGTGTTGTTAGGAGAGCTGTGTTTAATAGGAATTTAGACCTCTCAGCTTTTCTTGCTAGAGGGAGAAGGTTATATCATCTGTTCATCAGTTCTTCTCCATTGAAGAACCCTGAAATTTGACTTGGTAGAGGATAAGACCTTTACATCTTTACAGGATAAGATTTTTATTTTTTATTTTTTTTGGTTTCAGAACACACCAACACAAAGCATTGTGAAACGCCCGAACCAGCAGGCCCAATCATCTGCCTCAAGGAATAGTAATTTGCGTGAATTACCCATAGCACCTTTGCCTGCAATTGAGACTGCTAACAATAACCGACGAACTCCAGCTCCCTCTGTCCCAGTGAAACCGGTTTCTAGTGCTACCGTTGCTATGAGACCGCCTACAGGTGTCAAGAACCAACCGGAAAAGATGGAGTCCAAGCCTAAAACAGTTACTCCTGCGACTCAGCCCAAAATGGAGGTCAAACCTGAACCAGAGGTAAGGGTTCCCCTCTAGCAGAGGCTTAGGTGCATTGGGTGCCCATCTTTGTTTCAACAACGATTTTGACCAAAAGAATATTCGCGTTTCAGTACTCTACTCATGTTCCAGTTTTATTTTGCCGAAATGCATTCTTTTTTAATCTTCAAAAACTAAATTTTGATTTAACAGACCACTCAGACAGAAGAGATGTTCGTTAATCCCCAATGTCTGTTAAATCTGAAAGGTCACTGCGGTGGCGTAGTGGTTAGAGTGTAGTATTGCAAGCTACTTCTGCTGCCTGTTGGCTGCCTGCAATTTGGCAGTTCGAATCTCACCAGGCTCAAGGTTGACTCAGCCTTCCATCCTTCCGAGGTGGGTAAAAAACGAGGGCCCAGATTGTTGAGGGCAATATGCTGATTATGTAAACCGCTTATGACTGTCAAGCACAGTGAAGCGGTATATAAGTCTAAGTGATATTGCTGTTGCTCCTGCATACAAAAACCTGATTGCTGTTTTGTACATGTCTAAAAATATGCAGCCTGGAATGCCCTGTTGCATTGCAAATGGAAGCGAAGGAAAACTCCTTCTACCAGTCTTTCCAGTGGCATACTGCTCCATTCTTTCCATCTTTTGCTTGATGGACCAATAGCCATGACTCTTGGTGGTGTACAGTCCTATCACAGCAGTGCAAAGCATTAGAACAATCAAAGTGGTATAAACCCATGTCTCAATTACAAACCTGGAAATCAGAATCGTATCCCCAACACCATCTATATCTCATCTGATCACTTCACCCTTCCCTAAAACCTGGATGAACAGCCAGGTCTTCAGAACTCTACAAAAAACAGCTAGCAGGTTTGGGGACATCAGAATCTGTGATGGGTACATTTCCACAGGGCAGGTGCAGCCACAAAGGAGGCTGACCTAATCTCAGTTTTTTCACGACAAATTTCTGTGGCTAAGAAAGACAGTTGTTAAGTGAATTTTGCCCCATTTTAGGATCCATTGGCCTCAGTTGTTAAGCGAATGGTGTGGTCGTTAACCAAATCTGGCTTCCCCCATTGATTTTGCTTGTCGGAAGCTGGCTGGGAAAATTACAAAGGGGGGGGGGTCACATGACCTCGGGACAGTTCACCCAGCTCTTCGTAAATTCATGCCAGTTTGCCAAGCACCTGAATTTTGATTTCATGATGATGGGGATGCTACGATGGTCGTAAGTGTGAAAGCTGATCATAAGTCACTTTTTTCAGTGTCATAACTTCTAACGGTCCCTAAACTAATGATTGTAAGATGAAGTCTATCTGTATTTCAATTCAATAGATGCAGTAGCGAAACAGTTTCTGTGGAGCTTTCCATTTTGGGTGTGTGTGTTTGAGTTTCTAAATAAAAATATCCTCTAAGTCACATGACAGGGAAAATAAATCCCACTTAACCTAAAAGCAGATATTCTTGCTAATACATAAAAGTGAGCAGATATCAGAAAGTAACAGCTGTTGATATTTCACTATATTGTAGCTGCACTGAAATATTTAGCTCTGAGGTGATTGGTTGTTTTTTTTTTTTTTTGGTAATATGGAGTATTTAAATGTAATATAATGGAGTGGAACAGATTACTTCCTGATTTAATCTTTTCAGCAGGAAAGATGTTCTTCTATTTAGTGGTCTTTGCAGCTTGAAGACCTGTAGACCTCAACTCCCAGAATTCCCTAGGTATTCATACAAGGGAGATATAAGCCTTACTATGGAAGCAGGGGACACTCGTGTTTAAGCAGCTATGTATTTCCAGATTATTACATTTTCCTTTGAGCAGTAAGCTGGGGAGTAGATTGAGTGAGGTAAGAGCAAGAAGCAAGTCTGCTTTTATTGAACATTTCATTAAAATTATTACAGGTAGTCCTCAAGTTACGACTACAATTGAGCCCAAAGTTAATGTTGCTCAGTGAAACATTTATTAAGTGAGTTTTGCCCCATTTTATGACCTTTCTTGCCACTGTTCAACGAATCACTAAAATGGTTAAGCTAGTAACACTGTTAAGTGAATCTGCCTTTTCCATTGACTTTGCTTGTCAGAATGTGATCACATGACCCCGGCATACTGCAACTGTCATAAATATGAGTCAGTTGTCAAGTGTCTGAATTTTGATCATGGGGATGCTGCAACAGTTTTAAATGTAAAAAACCCAGAGTCATGGAATCATGAACCCAGGCTGTGGCTTTCCAGATAACAAGCCCAACATCTTAACCGCTGAGCCACTCTAGTAAAGGGTGGAACCCAGGTGTGAAACCCAGCAGGTTCTGGAGAACCGACAGCGGAAATTTTGAGTAGTTCGGAGAACCAGCAAATGTTACTTCTGGCTGGCCCCAGAGTGAGGTGGGAATGGATATTTTGCAGTATCCTTCCCCTGCCACGCCCACCAAGCCACGCCACCTACCAAGCCACACCCACAGAACTGATAGTAAAAAAAAATTGAATTTCACCACTGGCGGAACCTTTCAAATAGGATTTTTTCCAGAGCGAGGGACAGGAGGCTCCAGTGGATGGTATTAACATGCTCAATTGGCCACAAGACTGGGATGAAGCTGAAGCCACGCATCTATGCTCCACCCTTTACTTCTAGTTTCATCTCAGTCCAAAAAACGAGACCTATTTTTTTCTCCTGTATTTTTACCATTCCTGGACCCTCTTTGCAATTGCAATCCCCTTTGGAATTGCTCTTTCCTTCTGCCAGTAAGTTGCCTGGCTGGGGCATTCTATTTCTGGCCTCCAGGGACACTATTTGCCTTGCTAAAGGCTGGGAAGGCTCCGTTGCCATTGCTAGGGCCATTTATTGAGAGGGCCATTTCCTCTCTGTTGGCCTACAGTAGCAGGCTGCCTGGTCCTTAGCATCGGACCAGGGCAAGGGCCCCAGGTCCAGCTCCTCTCAGGCACATCCTCCCTCTGCTCCAGTAAGCAGCCCTGTGTCTCCCTCCCTAGTTAGCAAAGGATCAGTGTCGGGAATGAGGCCCAACTGGACCCTGATTTATCTGAAGATGAGGATGATTCCAAGCCTAATCCTCCAGCCTTCACTGGCCTTTTTCTGCCAAATTTATCCCGATCCCTCCTGCGCAAGGCGCATGCCACTGCATAGGTGAGGAGGGTGAAGGGTCTAACGAAGGAGCTAAGGACAGAACTAAAGAGGGTGCCAAGGAGGGGGGTGCAGCAAAGAAGCCTAGAGGCCCAGTCTTCTCTGAACCCAAGATGGTTAAGAAGGAGATCCCTGCCCCATACCTATTCTGGAGGTGGTAAAGAAACAATGGAAGAAGCCTACTGCCTTTCCCAACCCTAGTAGTAATGATAGGCACTCTTATAATATTGAGCCAGGCATTGCAGCTACCTACCGTGGACCCACCTGTGGTCGCCTTAGAATCACCTACCTCTCTGGTGGCCAAAGATGTGGCTGACAACCTTAAGGCAGATGACAGGAAAGCGGAGATGACTCTGAGGAAGACATTCCAGTTGGCGGCCTGGACCATCAAGTCTGCCTCGTTCTTCAATCGTACGCTATCCTGTGGATGGAGAAGATCCAGGAACGCATCCCCCAGAAGATATGCGGCTCCACCAAGACCTAAACAAGTTAGTGCCGGTGGTGCAGTTTTCCACTGATGCCATGTTGAATGACATGAAGTTTGCTTCCAGGGCAATGATGTCGTCCGTTACCTCTTGTCGCCTTCTTTGGCTCCGGAGTTGGCAAACGGACAACAAGTCAAAGTGGCAGCTGACATCAGCTGACTACACAGGGGGCTCTTTCTTCAGAGCTGCCCCTGACCCGCTCCTCATGAAGGACAAGAATAAGAAGAAGGTGCTGCCCACTTCGGCAAAAAAGACAGAGCAGAAGTCTACGTCGTTCTACCGCAGGCCCTCATATCACCCTCAGGAGCAGGAAGGTCAACACAGCAGATACTCTTCCCCTAGGTGGGAGAGGCAGCCTAAGAGAAGTTACAACAGAGATAGGCTCCGTTTCCAACAAGAGAGTAAACGCCCCTTTTGAGGGAGAGGTGGTCGCTCTTACCGCCGGGGCAAATAGGTAGTCTCCGACCCCACCCATTGGTGGTCGCCTGGCTCTCTTCCCTGAGGCCTGGGTGGAGATTTCCTCAGATGCTTGAGTGCTCAGCACGGTTACACATGGGCTTCAGCTAGAGTTCCTCTCCATTCCCCCAAACTTCTTCTGCACATTTCCCCCCACTCAAAACATAGACAAGCGCAAGGGGATGCGTCAGGCTATTAAGCATCTGACATTGCTGCAATAGAACCGGTCCCTTTGGATCAGGTGGGTCGGGGATTCTATTCAAATGGTTAGGTTTTTCTGTTAACTTTGAAAAGAGGTCTCTCATCCCGTCCACTAGGATCCTTTATTTGGGGGCTGTTAGAGATTCTCGTTCAGGGAACATTTTCCTCTCCCTGGACCATAAGTCCAGTTTGATTAAAATGGTTAAGCAGGTCTGCAGGGACCGTTATGTTCCATAGCCCTTCTCTCCAGCTTGTTGGGAAAGCTCATATCCTGCATTGAGATAGTACCGTGGGCACGATTGCATACCAGGACCCTGCAGTGGAGCCTCCTGCCATTCCAGAGGGCCAACACCAGCAGTTCGTTGGCCAAGGCCAAGGCCACCCCTCAGGTACTGGTCTCCTTAAAGTGGTGGCTGTCCCCAGCCTTGCTCAAGGGGTGTGAGTTCAGGGACCAGGAGCGCCTCATGCTCACCACGGACGTCAATCTGTTTGGCTGGGGGGGTGACCCTGGGATCTCAGTTGGCGCAGGGTCGGTTGTCCTGGCAGGAGCTCCGACACAATATCAACTGGTTGGAGCTCCGGGTGATCCATCTGGTGCTTTGACACTTTCGGAGCTCCATCGAAGGTCATCACATTCTGGTCCTCACCGACATCGTGGCGGCCAAGGCCTACATCAGTAGGCTGGGCAGCACACATTACAAGGCACTGCAGGCCAAGGCAATATCACTGGGCAGCTGGGCGGAGAGAGACACTTATTTTATTTTATTTATTTTATTATTAAAATTTATATGCCGCCCAATCCCGAAGGACTCCGGGCGGCTTACAAAAAAGAAAGAAGAGAAAGAAAAAGAGAATAATAAAAAGGACAATTTAAAATCACCAAACACATGCATTCGTTCTAATCGGGGCTGGACCTCAACAATGATTTCAACAGCCCCAGGCCTGCCGGAACAGCCAGGTTTTAACAGCTTTCCTGTTTAACAGCAAGCTTTGACTTGCGGTCAATCCGGGTGGAGCACATCATGGGGATCTACAACTATCAGGCTGACTGGTTGAGTCTAGAAACGGTGAACAATGGAGAGTGGAGCTTCTCCATGGAGCTGTTTCAGAGCATCTGCCAGAGGTTCAGACAACCGGTGGTGGACCTCTTCACCACTCCTGCCAACGCCCAGCTTCCCTGGTTCTTTTCTTGGTTCCCAACTCGGGGAATCGAGGAGGTCGACGCCCTTTGCACAAGGTGGCCGGGTGGGCTACTGTACGCTTTTCCTCCCCTCCCCCTCATTCCCAGGGTAATTCAGAAGCTAGTCAGGGAACAGGCGGAGCTGATCCTGGTGGCACCTCACTGGTCGAGGAGGGCCTGGTTTGCGCATCTCATGACCCTATCGGTCCGGCCTCAATGGAGGATCCTGGAGGGGGAGATAGTGTTGCACCAGGGGAAGCTAGTGCATCCGGAGCCACACTGGCTGCAACTAGCTGTGTGGAGATTAAGCGGGAGTGCCTGAGGGAGGCTCACTTGTCTCTGCGGGTAATTAGAACCATAGAGGCCTCATGCAGACAATCTACTATGAGGATCTATGACTCCACCTGGGTTTCCTTCCTGGCCTGGTGTAAGGTGAACCAGGAGGTGTTGAGGTTAGATCCGGTTTTTATGCCAAAGGTAAATTCCATTTTTCATCGTTCCCAGGAGGTTGTACTTCCGGATTTTTGTACAGATCCGATTAGGGAACGTGAACAGCAGTGGCACCGGTTGGAGTTCCGACAGGCCCTGAGCATTTATTTGAAGCGGACAGCCTCCTTCCGGAGGTTGGAGGCATTCTTATCTTTCTAACCTTCACCGCTGGGTAAGAAGGTGATGTTTTCCACCATTAGCCAGTGGGTCCACTTAGCTATTACCCTGGCATATGAGTCCCAGAGGTTGCCTGTGCTGGCCGGTATTATGGCACATTCGACGAGGAGCACTGCCACTTCGGTGGTTTGGGCTTCCCAGGCACCGATAGGTGACATTTGCAGAGCAGCTACGTGGACTTCCCCATTGCTGTTTATTCGGCATTACAGGTTGGAGGTTCCACCACAAAACCGCGAAGCCCTTATCCGCGCCGACATAAGTGCAGAGGCAAATCCGCGCCACCCGAAGCGCTAAGAAAAAAATGACCCTACCGCGGTGACATAACCGCGGAGGGCAAATCCGCGCCTACCATCCTAAACCTAACCCTAAACCTAACCCTAAACCTAACCCTAAACCTAACCCTAAACCTAACCCTAAACCTAACCCTAAACCTAGGGGCTCGCAAACGGGGTGGCGACGCGCGATGGAGGCAGGCTGCCCTCTTCTTCCTCAACAACATCTCCTTGGACAGCTGGAGGAAGAAGCAGGACGGGCGGCGTTGCCGGAGCCCGCGCCCCGCCTGCTGCTGCTGGCCCCACTCGGCCCCCCCCCGCGGGCTTCCTACTGCCCCCCGCGGCTGAGCTGGACCCTTCCTGCGGGCTGGGCGCGGCCGCTGCCCTCCTGCCCCAGCTGCTGCTGGGCAGCTCGCTTTGCCCCGTGCCCGCTGCCACTGTCAGCCCGGCTGCCCTGGCGGGGGTCTTGGTGGGCGCCCCCAAGACGGGCATTGCGCCCCCCTAAACCTAATCCTAACACCTTAATTTAAATCGGCCCTTCTGTCGCTGCGCTGTTGTCGCGGCGGTAATGACACGCAGTGGTGACGTTGCGGCTTTAGCGACGCGGTTTAATCACGCTATTTTGACAAGCGCGGGTTTGTCGTGCCACGCAGATTGGACGCGTTCACATCAGCTGATGCAGCGTTTGGGCACAGGGTGCTACAACAGATCATTGCAGATTGTTAGTTCCCCGCCCATGGGATTTAGCTTTGGTAGGTTCCATCCGCTGGAGCCTCCTGTCCCTCACTCTGGAAAATGGCAATAGGTCTTACCTGAACTGCTATTTTCGGGGCTGGGACAGGAGGCTCCAGTTCCCGCCCTAAGATAGTTAGTCTAGCTGGGGTGGTGGGAGTTCTCCCTGGTGCCTTGTTTTCATGTCTCCGGGGAGCTTGCTTCGATTAAACTGGAAGTAAAGGGTGGAGCACAGAGGCGTGTCTTCAGCTTCATCCCAGTCTCGTGGCCAATTGGGCGTGTTAATATCATCCACTGGAGCCTCCTGTCCCAGTGCCGAAAATAGCAGTTCAGGTAAGACCAACTGCCATTCTGCTCAAGGTGTTTACTTATTTAATTATTCTAAAACTGTATCGGAGTTTCCCAAGTAGGCAAGAGAAATGGGTGGAATGGTTAAGCATATGCAGGGTGGGAGAATTTGGTACAGATAGTCTTCGACTCATGGCCAGTTGGCACTAGAATTTCTGTTGTTAAGCAAAGCAGTTGTTAAGTCAGTTGCACCCAATTTTATCACCTTTTTTGCCATGGTTGTTAAGCAAATCACTGTAATTGGTAAGTGAATCAGGTGGTTGTTAAGTGAATCCAGGTTTCCCCCATTGACTTCGATGGCTAGGAAGGGTTGCAAATGTCAATCATGTGACCCCGGAATGTTGCATCCTTCGTAAATACATGCCAATTGCCCGAATTTTGATCATGTGATTATGGGGATACTGCGGTGGTTGTAAGTGTTCGGAGGTATTGTAACTTTGAAAGGTAACTACACAAAATTAAGGATTATTTATAGGAAGCAGTGAACTTTTAAGATTTTTTTCATACGCTCGAAAAAAATAGTCACAATTTCAGTTGATGATTATTACATTAATTCTATTAATATTAATATGGTATCATTCTTCCCAGGTTTTTTTTTCATTTTCTTGTAACTGCTTTCAGAACACATAATTTTCTTAACAGACTTTAGTATCAATATTTTTTTATTGGAAATGTTATATAGACAATAAATCTAAGCAGCTAAATCTATTATCAAAGAATAGTAAATTTATTGTACATTGTACATGGTTTGTAGCTTTCTGTAGGAGTAAAGTCTGCTGGTCCATTTGAAAAGCAGCAATTCACATTATTAAAGTATGTTGAAACTGCAAATTAAAAAAACAACAAAAAGATTATTTTTTTTTACTGTTAATTTCCCAGTAGCTTTGAATAAGGATATATATCCTGCTGGAGTTTTAAGGTTAGTGGAGAGATTATTAGGCACACAAAGGCTGCAATACTTTCTAAAAAGCTTAAGGCTGGAATATTAAAGCCATTCCTGATATTCCATTAATATTCCAACATTGCGTTTGGCAACATTTTAATTCTGAAGAGAGTGCACGAGTTCAAGGTCAGAGAGATTGACTTGCGCTGTTCATTATAACCAATTATTGTGTGACAAATGAGTTTCAGATCAGGCTGAAAATTCTGTAAGAAAAATCAATAGTTCTAATCAGGGCCTTTCAGGTCATTTACCATCCTACCTTTTGTTAGTTTGTCAAGAAAAGAGCAAGATAAAAACTGTGTGACACAGTGGGCTGCCTCTTATTGTTACTGCTCCCATTTGAAACAATATTTGAGTTCTTGAATTATATTAATAGTTTAATTAGTTTTAGCAACTTCTAAATGAGTTCCGAATTAGAAGGCTTCAGTTTCAGCTTTCTGATTTACTGTATTTAAAAAAATACAAAGTAAGAGTAAAATCCTCCTCGTTGCTTGTTTGGTTAATTGCTCATTAGCCTTTGTTAGCAGCTTTGTTATTAAAGACAGGGCATTTCAGTTAATTTAAGAATACTATTGGGAAAGCCATATATATATATATATATATATATATATATATATATATATATATATATATTTGCCAGACGTAACTTTATTTTTGTGGCTATCCTGCAGTTTCCTGATGAAGATGAGGAAACCAGACAGTACCGCTTGAAGATTGAAGAGCAGAAACGTCTGAGAGAAGAGATCTTGAAACAAAAGGAGCTCAGGCGGCAGCTTCAAGCCGGGGCCCGAAAAAGGGAATTGCTGGAAAGGCTGGCACAGCAACAACAACAAGGATTTTCAGGCCAACAACAGGAGGAAGACCCTTCACAGCTTCCCACCAATGGCAATCCATTGCTTTCCCTTCCTGGTGCACAGCCCCGCCAAAATGTAAAATGCAGGCTAATGGTTAAAAAACAAGAGCCAGTCGTTCTAGCTTCCACAGCTGTTCAGCCTAAGACTGTAAATGTTCTCCAGGCTGGAGACAGTGCGCAATGTCAAGGACAGCAAATAAAAACTATAAAGCAGCTAAGGCAGGCTAGGACAGTGCCCAAAAACAAGCTCCAGCTACCCAATAAAGCTTTGCAAACAAAGCTTCCCGCTGCTGTGCACTTGAACCTGTCCAAGATTGCTCAGATGGCATCGGTGCAAGGCCAGCCTCAAGAGCTGAAGTCTGGGATGAAAAGAACTGTCATGCAGCGGGCAAACAGTGGGAGTGGCGATGGGCCCCATATTGGCACCAAAGTCAGGGTGATAAAATTATCAGGAGGGGTAAGTTACCAGGCATGTCTCTCTTAACTGTTGTGATCTGTCCTGTCGGTGTCATCCTCGGAAGCTCAGCTACAGAATAGTCTTTCCAACACCCATTTGTAGCTTTTCCCCGACTAACTTCGAGGGGAAAGCTAAGCACAAAGATATATGTCACTAATGATATGACTCTCTCCCCTACACATCACAGCATGGGTGGACATTAACCTTTATTATGATCTTAAATGGCCACATTGAACTGCTGGAGCTACAAAATGCAGGCTCAAATGTTAAGTAGTGTAAAAGCACACTCCTTGGGGTAATTATTTAGTAGAAATAGTGAACATTTGATATTTAACTGTAATTACAAAAGAAAGTAGCAGGTAAGTATCAGGTAAGTAATTGCATATGGTTAAGGGCCAGAAGAGCAATGCCATTTTTTTTTGGTGTTCCTTTGGCAAAACATGCTCACCATCTAGACCTAGAAAAGCTCAGAATTCTAGACTCAAGATATACTGTAATTTCCATTGAATGTATATTGTATTATTTTTACAACAGGAAATGCGATGTAACAGGGGTCCCCTGGGCTGCAGGGGACCACAGCCAGTACAGAACTGGGAATGTGGGAGCGGTGGATGAGCGCACATGTACGCGTAGCTCTGCTTCCATGCACAGCGGGAGAGCGCCCACGCCCACCACTTGTGCAAATGGAGCGGTGCATTGTCCTGCCGCTTGTGCAGAACCATCCCTCTCTCCCCCGCCCCACCCCCTGCCGGTCCGCAAAGCTGGAATGGTTGGAGACAGCTGTGATATAAATCAAAAGAGTGGGAGAGAATAGGAAGCAAAAACAGTACAGTTTATACTTACGTTGCATGGAGCTGGAAAAAAGGGGCGATTGTTTTTCTGATTAAAATGTGCAATTGGTCTTCTGGAATGTTCACATATAAAAGTGTGCAAGACAAACCTGAAAAGAGGGTGGGGCTTCCTAAATGCATCTAGTGACAGATCATATCAATAGAATCTTTTTTCCTTCGATCTTAATATTAGAATTCAAAGTTATGAAATTAAATGTAGAGAGATTCAATACCGACAAAAAGAAAAAAAAAACATTCTGAAATTGGGGAAGTTGATGCTAGTAATTATAGTAATAGGAGCCCATTTAAAAATGAACACCAGTGATTCATTGCATTGATTAGGTTATCAGTGAGTGCTGGTATTGATGGTCGTTTAGAAGCTTCTGAACTATAGCTGGGAAATAGTGATGGAAAGGGACGTCATTATCACTGTCATTATGTACTGTATATACAAAACAATGTGAAATCACAGTTGCCATTTTTAGCTGGTGCACATCAAAATTATTCTCAAGAACCTAGGGTGTCGCAAGCAGAGCCAAGCAGTGTGGCCTTTTGTAATTGGCAGATGAAAATTTTGTTAATGTGCATGTTTTCTTAGGGCCAGCCAGGATTTCTGGTATGGCAGCCAAGGTAGCAATAGCCGCTGGGATCATCAGGCAGGCTTATCCTATAATCTTTCAATTTGCATTTTCATATCTAATATGTTGCATTTATTATTATTTAAATGTATATGCCAACTTCCAGCCATTGCTGGGTAGTTTACCAGTGATTTAAACATAAAAATCAATAAAGTCAAGGGAGGAAAAAAAAAGAGTTAGAGATGACAGAATAACGAACAGGGAAGAAATGAAAGAGAATGGCCTAAATTAAGAGATGTCAGTGATCGCCAGTAAAGTCCTGAGTGTTTAGGCCCCTTCGAAACATCAGGACGGGGTCATTCAGAACTCCAAAGGATCTTATTCCATAAGATAGGTGCTGCAGATGGCATTCCTTAAATGAAGGAACCAGGAGTATGCCAACCTTGCCATATTGATTGGGCAGAGAGTATGTGAGATACAGTAGGTAGCTCTTCAAGTAACTAAGCCTTATGCCTATCTACATAGTCCAGGTATATGAGCTTGCCAAATGCACCCATTAGGCCACTGGATAGTTGGGTTATTTTTACATTCTAATCTCTATTCTACTTTAACTTTACTTTAGAGCCGAGGTGGCGCAGTGTTTAAATGCAGCACTGCAGGCTACTTCAGCTGACTGCAGTTCTGCAGTTCGGCNTGAGCCGGTGAGATTAGAACCGCTGAACTGCAGATAACAGTCAGCTGAAGTGGCCTGCAGTACTGTACCCTAACCACTGCGCCACCTCAGCTCTTAGTATGAGGCATGACTGGAATTCTATACAATTACCTAAAAAAATCATTGAAATTGAAAATTCCATTGAAACTAACTGCATAGGCACTCTCGGATAAACACAACCAATTTTAACTACAGATCTCTGGCAGCTGAAATGCAAATGTAAGTTTTTACTACAAATGCAATATTCGTAGTAATGCCACATGACCACGGAGATGTCTTTGGACAGCGCTGGCTCTTTGGCTTTGAAACGGAGATGAGCACCGCTCCCTAGAGTCGGGAATAACTAGCACATATGTGTGAGAGGAACCTTTACCTTTACCTTACATACAACTTTAAATAACTTTTACGAAAGAGGAATACTACCAAACAAAGCAAAGTGTCACCTAGCTTGTGTTTAATTTTTATCCTGACTCCTTGTGTTATGCATAGCTTCAAGGTTTCATTATGTCCTCCATTCCGGTCTCCCATTCTGAAAAAATTCCCACAACTATTTCCTATGTATTTCTCCTCTACTGGATCACTCAAATTACCCAAATCCCCAGAGTCTTGTCTGAACTAACCCCAACGCAATAACTGCATTTTGAAAATAAAATATAGCTAATTTAAATCACAGGATCTCTTTTTAAAAAAAATTAGAGCTATTGGTTTATCCTTGGGCCAACACATCTAAGAGCCACACGGAGTGGGAAATTGGAGACCTACAGAATATTCTTTTTAAAAGGAAAGGAGACTGGAGGTGGTTGAATCAGATCATTGAAACAGCAGTGAAGATGCAAACGCCATTCTGTTTACAGCATGTGATCTAAATACCTACCCATGTCTGAAGTTCAAATCAAATTTCTATCAAGAAACCATGTGCATAATACAGAAGGACGACAAGCTGTTCACTAACCTAGTCTGAACTTTACTAAAATCCTTTTTCACCTTTTAAAAAAGAACAGAGAAGAAAAGCTCGTAAACGTTCCACTATCACAAGGGACCTCTGAATATATTGTAAGTTTTAGAAAGCAGGACTGAGTCAATCCCTTCCCTATCGTGAAATGCAGAAGTGAAACTGCCTAGCATATAAAAGCGTTAAACAAAACCTGCCCACTAGGTGTTTTTTTAAAAAAAAATGAGAGAAAAGACACCTATTGTGCATTTTACTATTGAAAATATTTCTAAGAAAGAAATAAAGCACAAAATAGGTAACATGAAATCACTCATCAGAATTGTAGTGCCAACTCCTTCCACTAATAAGTAATCTTCCCTGTTTTGTTTTCTAAAAGAAAGGTCACCTCTTCAGTTTTCTAGTGTTATTTTAACCTAAACTTTAACTGAAAGGGCCATATGCCTCCAATTAACAGTGCTCTGGCCTCAGACTGACAGAAGAAATGGTTGGCATGACCTATTCCCATAGATCCTATTCTTTGTTGCCAACAGTTACCAGATTTTGGTTAACATGAGGACCCTACCTTCGAAAGGAACAGAGGTGTCAATAGAATGCACACATTTTCACCTCTTTCCACTGTTCAGAATGCTCCCCAAAGTTTTAGAGCATGCCTGATGACTATTAAAAAGGATTTTCTTTTAAAAAAAGAAGAAATGGAAATATAGCTGGAATAGGAGGTTGATCTCAAACACTAGAACAAACTAGTACTTGTTCTCATCCCTGTTAATTGGTGTATAAGAAGAAGTGGCCTTGTTGGGGTGTGCCTGATCTTCAATGCACAAAATGAATGGGCTTCATTCTGTGGCCTCAGGTTTCAGAATCCCAGCCTTTGATTAAGGCTAGAACTTTCAGACCATGACAAATAAGCTTTAGAGTTCAAACAGAATCCAGAGGGTGGCAAAAGAAAAGAAAAGCCCCAGCTAATTCTAACCAGCACCTTTGCCTTTAGAGACGTAAACTCAAAACATCCACACACCTGCCTTCACATTCAGTACATCAACTGAGTCACAAGCATCTAAAGGCAATGAATACTTTGGCTGTTGCAACCCACTTGCAAGAACTTCCTACTCCAGCCTGGAGCGTGACATTTTTGAAGTTTCAATCAAGATTCTGCGTTTATGAAAGAAATCCATTAAACGAGCCAAAAACATCAAGGGCTGCATGAAAGCTAATCTTCAACATGAGGAATAGGTTACTGCACGGAACAATCATGAAGACTTGTAAGAGTAACAAATATTTGTCAAGATTAAGTAGTTTTAATAAAATATTTACCATTTTTTGCCAGCTTGTCATGTTTCGTTCTCTCTTCTATCCAAGTTCAGACCCAGGAGAAAGGGAGTAATTATACTCAGAAGATATACTTCCTCAAAAGTCCAAATTTCTTTCTTCTTGTGATTTTTTTTTAAGTGGAGGGGGGGCGGAGAAGCAGCTATATCCACAGCTTAAAAGTCCTTGGGAGGAAAGCTCATACTGACACCAAGATCAATCCCCTTTTGGAAAGTTGTAAACTTTAAAGGGTAGGGGAAACTGAACAGGTCATTCCACCACTTCTGTTGAGGCCAAATGACATTTGGCTTCCCTCTGGCAGCCCTGCACTCTTCAGTGGCCATGATACCCAGCTGTAAAACATTTGTGTGATGTTATAAAGGTTTTTAAAAAAAATCTTTATATCTTAAATAGTGCACCAAGTGTCATCTGGCACAGTTGAGCCAAGCCTGCTCATCTCAGCCAAATGTTGAAACATTCCATGTTTACACATTTACCCTCACAAGGATCTGCCAATATTCTTCTCATCACTTTGGATGTCTATCTTGGTCCCCCATCTGCCCCTGAATCAATGTATTATTGCTCAACTGTGTTCCCTATTTGCCAATCAGCA